ATAGTACTTAAAACAAGAAAAAATTTGTTAAAAGGTTCACAATGAATAATATATCAAAAACTTAAAGACAATGCTTAAAATCCTATTTAGCTGGACATGGTGGCATATGCATAAAATCCTAAAAATCAGGAGGCAGTGGCAGATGGATTTCCAATTTGAGGCTAACCTAAACACAATAGTCTCTTTAGGGAATCTGAAGTTGGAATATGAAGATCTTTCCTAAATAAAATAAAAACAAATAAGCAAAATCCTCTCTGGACATTAGATATTTGACCATTGAAATTCATATCCTAGACTCTTTATGTGCAATGCAATAAATCAGAGCTACTGTCTTTGGTATCTGCTTCTGTTTGGCAGCAATGGCTCTGTCTGCTTCTCACCAAAGTTGTCTTGTGCTTCCTCGTGTGTTGGTCTCCAGCTCACTCTGGTCTCACTATGAATGATGCAAATGTACCAATAGAAACACATTCTCCACACTGGAATGGGTTTGGATTGGGATTGCCTTTTCTATTTACACACACAGTATGCAAATTTTCGCCCACCTTGAATTTTCTAAGAATGGAGTTCTTGTAGATGTGGTCCATAGTGGCTTATTTTAGCTGTTAAAAACAATCAATATAGTGCCAAGATAGCTATGAAAACATGCCTTTTGCACATGGGCTGGTCTACAGAAGTTTGTGTTCTACACATCATAGGATAAGCTCAAGTTTGGTGATGGGAAAGAAGGTCAAGATGGCAAGAAAATGAGGGAAACTTTTTAAAACTTTCTGTTCAGTTTCACATAGCAGAGCCTGTTTTGAATCTCAGAATTCAGGGCTACAGCAGGCAAATTGTAGTCTGAGGTCAGTTTAGGATATTTAGAGAGAATATATCTCAAACAATAAAGTTATAATAAAATAATACAACCACTTCTTGGGCATCTATGCCACAAAGTTGTCCTAGAAAATACAGCCTGAGTAGTCAGTCTACTTTATACCTTAAAGCCCAAGCATTTCAGATCATCCATACCCTTTTAAAGAGGGGGTTTTAAGAGTATATTTTAAATAAAAAAAATAAGAAGAAGAAACTGAAAGACTGGAAAAATTCAAATTGGTAGTACAATTTATTTGCACTTAAGAATATAAGCCATTGTTGTGGAATATTGCTTTAACTACGTAAGGATGTTTAACAATGTAAAAATGTGTTGCTTTGCACCTGATTGATCTAATAAAAAGCTGAACAGTCAATAGGTAGGCAGTAGAGGGAAAGGTGGGGCTGGAGGGCAAAGAGAATAAGTAGGAGGAAGAATCTAGGGCTCAGGGGAGAAGAGGAAGGAAAGAGGGAGAAATAGAAAGAGATGCCTGGGGCCAGGCAACCAGGCAGTAGCCAGTCAGCCAGACAAAGAGGAAACAGGAAAAGTAGGACATACAGAATGATAGAAAGATAAAAGGCCCCAAGGCAAAATGTAGATGAAGAGAAACAGGGTCAACTAAGTTATCAGAACTAATGGGACAAGCATAAGATAAGGCCGAGCATTCATTACTAATATTAAATCTCCATGTCATGATTTGGGGGCTGGCAGCGTGAGAAGTTCTGCTTCAAGCCATCCTTATGTAGATGTTTAGTAATTAAGCCAGCTACAAAGTAAACCAGAATATGATTCATCAGAAAAACAAATGGGATAATTTAACAATATGATTCCACTTAGTTTACAAATAGGCTGGCTGGGGCTGTGGGAAACAGTTCAGGAGATGATCTCCTCTGATGTGGGTGCCAGTAAAAGTCAGTACAAAGCTGAAGGACATTAGCCATGACAGATGCCTGCTATGAAGCCTGTTCTGTGAGTGATTCATTGCAGATATCACGGCTTTTCCTCAGGCATACTAGGGGAACAAGCCTACTACCAAGTCATCAGACACGTACTGCAATTGTGATTCCTCTAACCTTCCAGTGAAGAAGACAGAGATTGGAAAGGAGGGCCACCAAGAATAAGAATTGTCTTTAAGGTGTCACCCAGCAACCGATGGAGGCAGATGCGAAGACCCGCAGCCAAACATTAGGTGGAGTTTGGGAAGCCTAGGAAAGCGGAGGAGAAAGGAGTGTAGAAGCCAGAGGGGTCAAGAACACCATGGGAAGGCTAACACAATCAACTAGCCTGGGTTCATAGAGACTTGAAGAAAATGAACAGACAACCAAGAAGCCTGTATAAGACTGACCTAGGCACTCTGCACATGATACCATTGTTTGGCTTGGTCTTCAGGGGACTCCTAACAGCAGGAACAATGGCTATCTCTGATTCTTTTACTGGATGTGGGGATCCTACTTCTCATACTGGGTCACTTAGTCTTACTGCAATTTAATATATCAAGTTTTATTGCTACTCATAGGAGACCTGTCCTTTCCTGAATAGAGAGGGAAGAGGAGGGGACTGAGGGGTAAGAGGGGAAATGGGAAAGAGGGACTGGTAGGGGAGGATGGGAAGTGGCTGCAGCCACATTGTAAAATAAACAGATGAATAAAAAAGAATTCTCTTTTTAACAGGAAACAGAAGCATTGTGTATGATAGGCAACAATGATGAGAAACAAAAATCACTAGTTTATGTTTAGTGAGTTTAGAACAGGAATAACGCCAGCTTCCTTAGGTATATCAATATGAATTATTCCAATCATTTCATTAAGTCAAATCTCAAGCCCCGTTTTTGAGGTAGCAACCTGCGACCCAGAATTGTGTCACACTTTCTTCAAAGGCACACATTCAGCCTTTTGTCACAGCAGTCATCGGAGTCAGGTCTTCCTCCGGAAGGTGTCTCCTCTACTAGAATGTTGTACAGTCTTTGGGTAGGCTCCTAGACATACACCCACATTCCACAGAAAGCTTCAACTCTGACTAATGCGTCCGTAGTTGCTTATCAACTTTCTGTAAGCATTTCAATTCTGAGGACTGTTGAGCAACAGATGAAGAAGTGGGCATTTCCACTCAGGTAACAGAATGATCTAGTCTCTCTGTTAGTTTGATAACATCATATAAAGTACTTTTGTCTGTTTGTATATTTGAAAACCATCTGCACCACCTGCCCACTCTGGGGTAACTTACTAAATGTTTCTATAGTGACTATTAGGAAAGGTAATTCTAACCATTTGCTATGGATTTTCCTACAGTTTACTTCTGAAGATGTTTCTCCAGGGGAAGCCCCAAAGAAAATCAAACGATTGTTATGCTTCTTCCTGCTTTTGCATATTATAGTATTCTCTCTTAATATGATGGATAGTTTATGCCAACTTGTCCTAGGTTAGAGCCATTTGAGAGGAGGGAGTCTTAACTGAGAAAATGCCTCAGTAAGCCTGGGATATAAACAAGCTTATGGAGCATCTTCTTTATTAGTGAATGACATAGGAGGGCCCAGTCCACGGTGGGTGCTGCAACCTCTGGGATGGTGGTGTTGGGTGATACACAAAAGAAAGCAGACTTCACAAGTCCTAGAGAGCAAACCTGTAAGCAGCACTCCTCTAGGGCCTCCTGCCTCTAGGCCCTCCAGCATTGTGTGAGTTCCTGCTATGATGTTCGTCAGTGATAAACTGAGGTCTGGACGTATACGTGAAATAAACCCTGTGTTCCCCAAGTTGCTTTTGATCACTGCAGCAATAGAAACCCTAACTAAGATATTTCCTTAAACAATTTCATGTCTCGCCATCACATGTGCTGGTTTGAAGAGAATGGTCCCCATAGGATCATGTTTGAATGCTTGCTCCCCAGTTAGCAGAACTTTTTGGGAAAAATTAGGAAGTGTGGCCTTGTTGGGCAAGGTGTGCCACCGGGGATAAGCTTTGAAGTTTCAAAAGCCCACACCAGGCCCAATCCTGCTCTTTCACTTCCTATTCCCTGTGGATTAGGGTACAACTCCAGCACCATGCTCTGGCCAGATGCCATGCTCCTCACCATGATGACCATAAACTAACTCTCTGTAAGCCCCCAAATAAATGCCTTCCTGCAAAAGTTGCCTTGGTCATGGTGGGTCTTCACAGCCATATCACAGTAACTAAGAAACCACATAAATTCCTTCCTCCAACTATAAAATCTGTCTTAGATGTTATGAGTTCTTTTATGGAATCATTCTGACATAGCACCCAGCACCACCAAATAAGGGCAATATTTAATTATTTTAAACTCCCATATCATTTTGCTCATACCAATGGCATTTTCATGGCCATTTATAAGAATTCTTTGTGTAGGCCACTACTTTTGTTTCTAGGCTATGAGCTACTCAATACTGCAGGCAAGTCAGACACCCTACAGGCCAACAATATCTTCTACAACAAGGCACATGAGGGGTTCTCAATGAACATCTGTAGCCGTGGAACTTCAAATCTGTCCAATCTTGTTTCATTAAAGCATTACCTATGCAAAAATGCTTGAAGATGAACATTTTCAAGGGATTAAAATTTTTTCCTTATAGAGCTTCTTTGATTAAGCTTGGGTTATCTTAAGGTCACTGAGTTTAATTTATTAGGGTTAAATTTGCTATTGTACAACGGTATATTTTCTTTGGCTTGCCAGTGGCCTTTCCATATTTAACATAACCTTCTGATCTAGAATCATAGGATGCTTCCCTAATAGTCAGCAAAATAGAGCTGTGAGGAGCCAGAGGGCTGTGTTTGCGTGTTTGTTTTAAACTTCATAGCTGAGCTGAAGAAGAACTAGGACTCTGGCTCTCTGCATCCATTTATCTCTCTTCCTTGCTGCATGGGATGCTCTGAAAGACCAACCCCAACCATTTGAGGCTTGTTTCAGCACTGCAATATAATTAGGGGCTTTTCTTTAACAGAGCACATTCTACTATGGAAGAGCTGCCATCAAGTCTGGTGACTTGCCAAATAAAGCCATACATAAATTGGGTGTTATCATTACTGATTCATACCTAGAATGGTGGTTTCCTCTTTCATTAATAAAAGCAACAGAATTCATTTACTTGGAAAACAGACACATAAATGGTTAAGGACAAAACAAAGACCATTGCACTGACCATAGTCTGTATTTTCTGGCTCCCAACAATTTGATGGCCAAAAATAGGGTGTCTGTTGAAGGAAAAAAGAGGAGTCTTGGTTATACACATAAATATTTAGTAGGCTTTCTGGTGTGCAGTCTGTGTTTATTTTCGGTGCTTATCTAGACTATGTTCCTGATAACAAACATTTTAAACCCAGAGAAAGCTAGCAGAGAGATTTTTATAAGGTTCTCCTCTGCATGCACTGACCAATTTCTCAGCCTTCAGCTTTGCCAAACAACAGCAGGGATTTAAAACAGTGCTCATTTTCCATCATCTCGTACCAACGAACATAAGGTTAAAGGATATGACTGCATTATCCAAGCAAAAGGTTCAGTTTCAGCCACAGAGATGACTGAAAGTGGAATCTTATGTTCAGCAAGATTTGGAATGAAGCATGCCTAAATACAGTGACTTTTTCTGTAAATTATATCTCTTTATTGATTTTCATATGTTCTCAAAGTTTAGAATCATTCCTGAAACTTGTGAATCATTTGCTGGGACCTGTTAATTATGTAATGCAACTTTCAACATTATTCAGCACAATGACAGTAACCTTTGACTTTTACTTATAAAAGCATTCATTTATTGCTGTAAACTTTTAAATGGTGCAAACCAGAGATCATGTTTTTTAACTAATAGTATCTTTGATGTGATTAACAATATCCAGAATTCTGATTCTGTAAAATTCTAGAAATACACTGACTGAAATATAAAAGGAAATTTGATCCGGAATAAAACCCTTAAGATAATTAATGTGGCAATTTTTTTCAGGATTTTTCTAGCCCTGACAACTGAACCTGGCACAGACTCATGGTGACCACAGATCTGCAGAAGCAATGTCATTCATTGAAATTGGCATGGCACGTGAACTCAGAGGTACATAATGGATTGATTATATGGATGAACTAATATTACTGATTGCTTATGTGCAATGAACATATTTTGGGCATTTTCTGACTCTCTGAATTTTACTTTCTAGAGAATGACTCTCAAAGATGTAGAAAAGGATGCTCTGGAGAAATGATGGCGTCATTAGGAGACGGCCCTTTTCTGAGCGTTCTGACCACCAGAGGATTTTGACTTAGCTTCTACTTCTTTGAAATTACTTCAGTCTAATAAAGGAAGATAATAGTAATGTGCCCATATGAACAAAATCACAGTAGGAATTTGGAAGAAAAAAAGACTGAATCGCTAGGGTAAGAGGGGTGGGAAGACGTGTATGGAACATGCTTAGCCTCTCCAATCATACTTAACTCTGTGGGAGACAGAAGTTTGAAGATTTGATTTCTTAGAAATTAAATTGGACCAGGATTCCAGTAAAGCCATGGAAGAAGGAAATAGCTGAAGACTATTTCACGCAGAGCTCCTATTTGAGAAGTCTCTTGGAGGGAGCACTGATTGTTTGGTGCTGCTTCATTTTGGGTGTGTGTGTGTGTGTATGTATGTATGTGCATTATCCTTGTATAAGCATATTGATTAACTAGTTTTAGACTATATTCTAGGTATATGGTCAATTAGACACCTTTTGTTCTCAGCTTGCCTTTTAAATTTTCTCTTTATTCCTTTACCATATTCTCAGTAAAAATCTTATGCCTATCAAAGTTGAATTTTATATTGGGGTATTATAGAGAAATGTCATAAAACCAACATTTTTCATTAATCATGGAAGATTTTTTTCTCAGGAAACAATGCTTGACTTATAATAATAGACACTATAAGAGAATAGCAAACCTTTATAGTTTGTTATTTATTACATATTTCTGTGATTTTTCTAGACTTTGGGACATTTTTGTTCGAGTGTCCTTTTTTCAGTGCTAGCCACCTTTGTTTCTACAGAACCTCCTCCAATCACCCTAGCCATTACTCAGTAGACTTCAGCTGCACAGTCCATGTATTAACTCTGTGAGGGGCATATGAGATCTGCCCGATGGAATCAGGAGAGGTCTCAATTCCAGTTAGCAAAGAGTGACCAGACAATTTAAAGTTTACAGTAAATCTTAAAAAAAAAAATCGCATGTCTAAAATGTCCTAAGAGTATCAGACACATCTATTGTATTACATCAATTAAATAGGTTCTGTTTATCTCCAATGCATGTCCTATACCTTCTTTAGATTCTTAATGATGTTTGGAATCTACATGGTTCAACAGAGGCACTAAGAATTTAACTCTGTTTCGAAACTCCTTGCAAGGAGGTGAATTTCAGGTCAATTCAGGAAGTTTCTACTACTTGGAACCAGCATGAAAATAGAAAAAAAATCAGATCACAATGAACCTTCATGTGTTTTCTACTATTAGAGATGTTCCAGCAGAACAAACAAGGCAGTACTTTGCTAGGCTGTGTAAGTAGGAATCCAGCTCACTCCGACTCTGTCCTTGGTTCCTTTCACTGTTAAAAGATTCCATGATAAACAGATTTGCTAATCCACCTCATTTAGATGTCACTGCAAAGGTAGATGGATTATTAAAATATACAGCATTTAATAACTGATAGTAATAATATAATTTAATAGATTTGCATGAGATACACCTAACAGCACATTGAACTTGATAACCTCTCCTAAGTCTTATAGTTATGTAATGAATGAGCCACTTGCTCCCACTTCCTCCCTTTGTTCTAAAATTCTCGAAAATTCTTTTCCTCCTCTAGATGTGCAGTGGTGCTTTGTAACCTTCACTCAGCACTTACAAGCCTGATAAGACATCCAAACTTTGCCCACTAATTTCTTTCTGGGAAGGTCGAGAACAGAGAACAAGAACTTAAATTGCAGCCAATTCAACCCATTAGCACTAACTGAGGGCCATGTCTGAACTCATTCATTTTATGAAAATATTTTAAATTGGATAATTAGCAAGAGAGTGCCGTAGTCAGTATTTCCTTTCTGAGTAAGGTTTTCTTTGTTGTTGTTTGGTTTTTAGTTACTGTTGTTGTTTTGTTTTGCACAATGGAGATTTTATTTCTTATATCGATTATAAAGATAGATAAATTTTTGGTTTTGTAAGCATAGAACCATTGCTCTTTCAGAATTTATAAGTTTGTTTGTTAGTCTTAAATTTTACTTGTAACTTCAGTCTCAAAAACATTTCTAAAAATTGGAACTTTGTAAAGATGTAACCCTGCAACAGCAAAGACTTTCCTTCAAAAACGAAGCTGAGTTATATCTCTCAACTTCCTGCTTGCTAAGTGCAACTTACAGCTGAAGTCTTCCCTACTTTCTTCGATTCCACTAAGTCACCTCATGAATTTTCCTAAAGTTTTTCTTACATTAAAACATAATTTCAGTCATTATACAGTTCAGCTTCCACATTTTCCCCACCGGTGTCTTATGATTGCTTCTGATGCTTACCCATGATCACTAATGACTTTCTAAGTAGTCTAAGACAACCACATAATAGTTTCCAAAAGGTCTGAAGACACACAAGAACGAAGGTCAGGCTTTCTGGCTTGTTGTGAAAGAATATAGGTTTCCACTTACTTGAAAGCGGTAGAAGGTGCCATCATCCTTGAGTGTGAGGACGTGATCTGAGATGGGAAAGAAGTAGCCGTGGGCAGCCATTAGAGTTCCCAAATGGAGAGCCTCCACTGTTCCGAGAAAGCAGAGCAAAATGAAAACAGCACATGAAAGCCCTGTATATTTGTTGGAATTTGTTCTTGATGATTACGAAGGAGTAACATTTGTCTGATTCTCTTTCAACACATTCTTGCACCAAATTTTTAACATTTTCCCAGTTGCATAGAACAATCTTTCTGTACAAAGGTGAGTGTGTGTGTGTGTGTGTGTGTGATTTCGAACTCCCTGTTCAAAGCCAAAATTTTGCCACAGAGTACCAGAGTACCTATACATTCTAGTTAAAACTCTAAAGCTCATGTGGACACAGGAAGAACAAAACTTTAAAGACACATATCTTGTTACTTAAACTCGTGGCACTTCCCACATCTGATGGTAAAGAAAATCAATACACCTTGCAAGATTTATGTGAAAATCACATACAGATATAGGCAAGGGAGGTGGGCAAATGCCTGAGCATAGTAGCTACAGGACATATGGGGCCACTATGCTTCATTGCTTGCACACTGAATGAGATTTACATCTTTCCAAGGTATTTCCCTGGCGTGCCACTTCTACAGATTTGCCTCTGAGAAGACAGAGTGAGAGAGGCTGGTTCCTCTAAATGGTGGCAGTCCTTTCCACACATCCTCCATTAAATTTGGGTTGGCCATTGCGTTCAAATGGAAGAGAACGTTGAGGAAAGCTGGGCCACAACAGTTGTTAATAGCCTACAGCTTTGGTCAAGGTTGGGGTCCTTGTATGCCTTTGGCCACAAGCCTTGAGTCTTGAAATTTCAGGGGCCTCACTTCTCCTCTTCTTACAGTTGCTTCTGTTCGCTTTGGTTTTCCAGTCTGTGTGCTGGGAAAGAGTATCAGCACACTTACCAGCCACAGAGATTAAGTTACAGCACGTGGGAATGACTGTAGAGTACAGACACAGGGAAGGAAAACAGAGACTTGAAGAAAGAGAGGAAACTGCTTCCCAACTCCAAGCCTGGGACATTATATGACTCAATAAGCAAAAGACAACAAACAACCAAAACAAAGAAACCTGAAAGGCAGTTAGGAGCTAAAGTCTTGGTGAATCTGAGAAAAATGTAGTAAAAGTTAACACAGGGAGCCTGCGGTCAGAAAAGTCGGAGGCCAGTGAGCGTCAGCCTGATTCTCTGCATCTACACCGAAGTCCAGCCCATTGTTGGCCATACCCTGGCACTTGTAAGTTCTTTATGTAGTACTGTCACATATAGGCCTTAGTAAGTCTTTCTGTTAAGAAAGACAAACTGTGAACACCCTTCTGGAAAAAGATTCCGTTTTTATTTGATTTAACTATATATGGTCTCATTTTTCCCCCATGAATTATTCTCTAGACATGTCTGGTTTGAGAGAATTTGGTTTTGATAATTCTTTATCATACCTTCAAATTGGTAGAGTTCTATTGATGGGGATTCCTTTTTATAAGAGTAGAAGCTAGTTTCCTCCATGGTAGTATGTACTTCCTAGGTCAAGGTAAAGCCAAACTATTTATTTGCCTTAATCTTTAAGTTGTCTGGCCTTACAACAAGGCTTAGACAATGACTTACATGTCTTTGGTTAAATGGGAAGAGAGTATGAGATTATAGACATAATTTCCAAAATGAAGTTAGTTAATAATAGGTGAAAAACCAGGGGTAAATTTTGTATTTGACTTAGAACTGTGGAAAAATGAAGCTATAAAACCAATACTGCTTGAGATAAAAATAAGAATTCAAATATACAGTCCATCCCAAATAGGTTAAATACCAGTACATGGGAAAGGGCCAGAGTGTTTTGTGTTGTGATCATGAGAGGTCTGTTCAGTTTTTCTAAATAAATGTTAACGCTTGTGTTGTCTTTTCAAAGTACCTCAGAAGGATTTGATGTGAGTTGTTGTGCAATGAAAAAAACTAGAATTGATATTACAGGCATAAATGATAGCAAGAAATCTTAGTGTTAGAGGACATGGTTTCAAGGTTCATTTGTTTATTTAATGATAATCATGGGACTACATACTCCCATGATCCAACTGCTCCTAAAGCCCCAGCATCACCTCAACTGAATAAGACCCAGAAAGACCACACTGGCAATGTCCACATGGAATATTACAAGAGTTCAATGAGTAAATTGTCAAGATCAACCTCCCGTCATGCTTCTCGGCAAAATAACCACTATTAACCTTCATGTGGGAGTGGTTTTTGCCTCACTCACACAGCTCAAGCTCAACAATGCACCAACCAAAGCATCTTAGTTTCTTTTCTCATTTGGATAGCCAAGTGATGTGTGCGCTGAGCAAGCCATTCCCGAACTGCCACCACGTGAGGAGCTGCAGCAGCTGTGCCAAACGCAGGCATTCCTCCCTCCCTTACCTCAAACCCTCAGGTGAAGATTTGCAACGTCTTTAAAAGAAGAGTGTTCTACAGACTAATTTGTTTTTTTAATCCACAGCACCTCAAATGTTAAAAGGATGAATAACACATAATAAAAGAAGGTTGAGTTCTTCTGTGTGAAGTGTTGTGTATTTATAACCCAATTTCAAAATCTTCTTATCCACAGAGAGCACAGCAGCCTTCCACAGACAGCAAATCATCTTACAAAGATTGAAACGTGTTGGGACCAAGAAAACAAGAATTGCGACGATTCTCACTGGATTCTGTACATTTTAGTCAAAACCTTTTACTTAGGTTTATGTGGATGTCTTTTACGAAATATAGCTCTCCGTAACAATAATAATCAAAGAAAAAGAGACTGTCAACTTGAAGAGGGAGGATGGGAGGGGTTGGGGGAGGGCACCTGGGAAGGGGAGAGTGATGCAATTATATTCTATTTCAATTTAAAATGTATTTTAGAAGAAAAAACAAATGTAGTTGTATATATCTGCATGTGCATACATTCATAATTAAAATAAAACAAATTTGAAAAAAATACAGTGTTGTCATTCCACATGCATAGAGTTAAATGTGATCGAGCTCTATCCAGGTGTGTCTTAGAAGGAAGTCTAAAGAAAAATGATGATAGCTGGCAAGGAAATGAAAATGCTAAAATGTATACAAAGGTAATTTGCCTACTAGTCAAATAAAAGACAATCAGTGGGATGCTTCTAAGTCAGAAAAGCAATGTTTGCTTGGAGAAGATATGGTCATTTTAGAAGTCCTTTGAAACATGATCTTTTAGATCTACTAGAATTGGCATTTGAAAAGGTAAGGTCAGACATTTGGGGAAATTACATATACAGAACATTTTATTCTCCAACAAAGCCAAAAAGAAATGGACTGTTACTGAACGAGGACTTACTTTCAAAAGCAGCTTTAATTTCTCAGCAGAGGGAGGGAGTGAAAGAAGTAACTTGGGCTTTCATCTCTTTTTAAACATTTCCACATTGGAAAACAAATCCAAGTATTACTTGATTTTTACCAACTACAAATAGAGACTTTTTTAAAAAGAAAAGTGAATAGCAAATGATAATAAGGCATAAAGAATAAATGTAGAGAAGTTTGGGGATTGGAGATGTGGCTCAATGGGTAAAGTGTGTGCTTTGTAAGTATAAAGCCTAGAGATCAGATTCCTAAAACCCATGGAAAAGCTTAGAAGGTATGACAGCTCACCTGCAACCCCAGAGCTCAGAAAGTAGAGACAAAGGACACTTGGAACAAACTGGGTAACTACAGTAGCCCAATTAGCCTGAGCTAAGGGAGAGAACAATCCAGGAAGACATCTCAAATCAACCCCTGACCTCCAAATGTCTACATACATATGTGTGCTCCCAGACATTTGAGCACATGCATACACACTCAAATACTACAAACACACTTTTAAGAAATAACTTCTGTGTGTCATGAATAAAATAATAATAATAAAAACAAACAAGCCAAGTATGTAAATGACCCTCCCAAAATGACTTCTGCTTGAAAGAAACAAAAACAGAATCAGAAATTGAATCACCATTGAGAAATGCACCAGGTGTTTAATACCTGTAAATCCCCTTTCTAACAGCAGTGAAGTGTGGCTGTTGTGCAGTGTGCTGTGAGAATTCAGATCCATCTCTCTGTTGACCAGCTGTGTAACAAGAGCCAGGGACTTCCAGTCTCTGGCCTTGGTGTCCTCAGGAGCATGAAGTTAATAAAATACGTGTGTCCCAAGTTCACTGTGATAACCAACTAAGATGTGAGCTATGAATCAGTACCACATGCAAATGCTACAGTGATATTAGCTGATAGAAAATGACAGAGTTGTACCACTTCATCACTTCAGCTAGTTCAAAAGCAAAGGGGTAGCTGGTTCTGGACTAGGCTTCCCCATCATAGTAAGCATTCCCAACCCAACACTGCTTGAATCCTGTAGGTGATCAAATCAGGTCCTTTTGGTGCCGTGATATATCTGCTCTAGGATATGTCTTTTTCACCCTCGGCATCAAAGGACACACACATACATACAATATAAAGAGGAATATAGTAGTTATAGCAAAAATGTTTTCACAGGTTAACATATCCACTAAAGCATGAATATAATATCCCAGAAAGAAAACACCCGGCTTGGGAAACAGTAGAAAGGACTTTCTGAACTTGACGAGCTGGATTTGAACTCAGTTTGTAGCTCAGCTTGATTTTAAAAAGAAGTCATCTTGCTTCAGTCTCCAAGTGCTAAAATTACAGGATGAACCCACATGCAAATATGTTGAAAATAGAGAGAGTAGGAAAGATGGATCCTGTTTATGCAGATCAAGATGTTCATATGCTAACAAAATGGTTATAGAGTGAGGCTCATAACGAGCAAGATCAGTGGGAATGATGGGAAGAATTGCATAACTTTAAAGAGGTCAATTTATTAATAAAAAAGCAGTCTAAATGTGTGTGCACTTCCAAATTTGGGAGGCAAACTTGGGAGAAATAATGGAGGGGGGAGAGAGAGAGAGAGAGAGAGAGAGAGAGAGAGAGAGAGAGAGAGAGAGAGAGAGAGACCCAGAATTCCAGGTGGAAATATCTGTATTGTCCTGTTGGGAACCCATAGGTCAACTGGCACAA